TATTTATCCATAGATAATTTGAGACAAAATTGGAAATTAACCCGAATGCTGTCAGCGCTTAAAATGATTATAAAGTTCAAAGGGGGAAGAAATCAATTTTATCGCTTAGATGAGTAAGTCAAACAAATACCAAACTTTCCGAGAATATAAAAAGGATATTCCTAGTCACAAAAATTACTAGCAAACATTTGGTCCCCTCTCGCCAAGTTCAAACTGAACTACATAATGAAAAACTGTGTGTTATACACACACACCCAACGTTGTCGCAAGCCAGCTGGTGATAATTTTAGCGTAACATTTACGAGCAAGCTTTCTTTCAATGCTCAACTCGCTGTATGCTTGCTCATAAAAGCTTCAAGGGATGTCGTGAAACGCTTTGAATTTATACAGTTATACAGTAAAGTTACAGTTATTCAGTAACATGCATAATAATAAGTAAAAGCCCCTGACCTGACACTATTTATTATCGGAAACACTTTGCACGGTAAATGCATTCACGATCGTTTAATATTTTACGCGACTTTACAATACAAGTTTTAAAAGCACAGGCATGACGCCTGTACCGAAATCAAAATTCAGGTTTGGGATAGAAAACACCGACAGGAAAACACAAAAAATTACTCAACAAATACATGAAAGTTTGGTCTAACTTTATGCGGTTATAGCATAGAGGGCTGACTGCAGCAGAGCTTGTAAAAATGATCGACCTTGTTGAAACAATAGCAAGCAGGTAAAATAGCACTTCAGAGGAAAAACAGAATGCCACTTGATATGCTAACCAAGAGGAAATAAATTTCAACAGCACATGGCAAGTCTTAAAAAAATATTTACAGAGTCAATGTGAAATTCAGACACGTTTGAAATGGACTTTGCAGTTGAAACACGTACCTAGAAACTAGCCTAGAAGTATTTGTATTGTATTGAGTGTGGAAACGAATTTCGACTAATACTTATCTCATGGTCTGAACCATAAGACAAGTAGTCGCATGTAATAGTATAATAATAATAATAAAAGTATTTTAACCTAATTAATAATATAATTAATAAATTATTATTATTAATTATAATATAATTATTATTATATATTTGTATAATATTATTGGTTATAATATCATAAAAAATATAATGCAACTATTTAGTACAGAGTCGCATTTAAGAGGCGGCGAAAATTTTTTAGGCAACGTCAGCGATATAAAGGGAATCAGAGAAATCAATTTTTTACCAAATTTCTTCAAGAGTCCAATAATGCTTAATATGATAGAAACTTCAAAGATTCTGTACACAATGCTTCGTTGAACGGAATTATAATATTAAAGAAACCATTAAGCTGGGATTTATAGTTTGAATCTCGAAAGTAATTTAAATGGTAATTACTATTATGGCCACAAGCAATCCTTCGCAATGAGGTAAGGGAAGGAGCTCTAGAACGGTGTTTGAGTGTATAAGGGCTTTTCCTTTGATCTCAGTTGAGCCGCAAATGAAACAAAATTGAATAGCAATGAATGATAAAAATACTGAATAGTCAGAATAGCCAAAAGCTATTTAGACTAATATAATCCATTTAATAAACGTATTAGTGTTTTAACATTTAGGAAACAAACGAAGACGGGCTGAATGTTCCGGGTTCGTCTCGCATTCTCCCGCCGAAAGCCTAAAGGAAGGATTCAATTTCATCTCAAAGGCTCCCTCGGTTCCCCCTCTTTGCTCAGGAAGTGGGAATCGCTCAAGCTAATTAAAAGCGAGATTGAGAGCCGGAAACACGCAAAGAAACTTGGAATTGGAATACCGGTGAGTAGCACGAGCTCTCGAACGCTTCTGAACTCGGGTTCTCAATTGCAAAGTTAGACTGATGTTCGCATGAACGGATATGCTGGCGCGCCCCCTCATTTGCAAAAGTTTGCGTCCATCGTTTCTCGTACACGCGGACATTTGGGGCCATTTGGCCCGATTCGGTTACCTTCAAAGACATCGAAACGCTTTTAGCGGAGCTTAGACAACTCATTAGGAAGTAATGAGCTTGGCTAGGGCATATATGATTTCAATCTCCGGGTCGTATTCCTTAATGGTTAACTCACCATTGATGATTAGAAAAAAATTTGAACTTTATTGCTAAATGGTGTCAACGCTTAGTAACATAATTGGCAAGGAGGATCATATCTATTTTACAATAATAAAATATTCAGGTAAGTGCTGGATGTAATGTTGAAAAAATTATTATGACCGCGCATGAAATTGGTCCCACTGAGTCTCTGAACTCAGCAGGCACGCAATTGATATACCGAGATAAACACCAAATAACACTTGGATGACACTGTCAACACACTGCATGAAAGTTAAAGTGTAAAAAAAATTAGATCATTAACATTGTTCGAGACAGCGACTTAGCTGATGGCGATCTGCAAAGTTGTGATGGAGAAAAAATTCATGGATTATATGCAAAAAATCCCAATTAGCTAGCAAAACGGTAATAATTTGCAGGTAATGCAATTCTTTATACCAGGTTATCCTGCATCATCAATGCACAAATTACCCACACTTGTAAGGAATAGTATGCAGCATTTTTACTATAAACTTTTTTAAAATGAAAACTATTAAAGGAGCAAACTCAGAGGTGATAAGGAATACAAAAAATATACATACACAAAAGTGAAACCGTAACCGAATAACAAGGCGGTTTCCTCCGTTTATAGACCGCCCTCTCTGTACGTGCATAGAAGCTGTCAAGCCTCATTCATGAAACAAGGATATTACCACGAGCTGAGGGCAGCGGGGTATTTGTGGTTCTCGGGTGAGGGTGGTTTTGTTAATCATGATTATTCATTAATGGACTGATGGATGGTTCTTTCAAACCGTAATGTGTTCGTACAGAAAATTTATTCCAGTCCGACAACGTCTCCACTAGCACTAGATACATAACAAACCCAATGATGATTTTCACTCTAGAGTCTAGAATAATGTGAATGATTTTATGCAAACATTGTATGACATACACAACTTCTGGATGAATGCGAACTAATGGACGAAAGAAAACTTGGAGTGCATGTAATTCAACGACGTTCATGCAGAGCAAGCGCGTCTGCTACTCGGACACTGCAAGGGTCGGAGAGAGAAGTGTCGGGGCGATGAAGGACCCAAACAAGGCTGCTGATAGTGATATACCGTCACGGAAATGGCTAATAAAGGCCGGGGCAGAGGTGACAGCCTCCATTATGTATGGGAACACGTGGCCTATACATCAGTTTAGCGGAACCACTGAAGACAGGCTGACTGTCCCCTACTCATACTGCCGAGCTGCATGCTGCGGCTGTCACTTGTCACTTGTTAATCCTCATGCAGTCCTCGACAGCTGAGGGTATCATCTATTTATTTCGTTGTCATTCTTAAAGCGAATTTCAAAATATTAAAGGAGATATTCAGCACTAAAAGCCCAGTAGAAACTGGTGATGCACCCGATTCTCGCGTCAAGCAAGTCGTTCAAATCTGCATAAAAAGATCAATAGTGCTCCACTAGAACGCTGCACTTGGATCCAATACTACCGTTGGATTATACATCAATCGATGCATTCATTTCCAAATTTAAAGTTAAATCGTAACAGATAATCGCCAGCACAGAAGATGGACGATTTAGAGGATGACTTATTCTCGTCAAACACATTTCACTGCGAAACATATGGCTTTGAAAACTTAAAAATTTTCTTAGATTGGGAATAAGCTTTGTGCTCTACTGTAACTCATCGAATCTAAAAACTTCTTATAGTTTAAATTGGTAAAGTTTAGTTTCTTCAGAAATTTCACCGTAGAGCTCCGTTTACGAGCGTCATATCGGTCTCCTGAGATGACGATTGCTGGAGCCTTAACGAGACTCTGACACTTTGATTAACTTCCTCAATAGCGGGCTGTAAAATTAATTACTGCCATCAGGCGATCTGGCAGGGTATGTGAGTCCAATTATCGGCGGATATTGAGGGAACGTTAACAGCATACAATTCCCTTTCAAGATGTGAGTGTGCCAATTTTTAAAGTAGCAGGATCAGATTTAGGCGTCCGAGGCTGCCGAAGAGTTACGCTAGCCTAAGCCTTAGATCTGGAGTATCAATTCTATAATTTTTATCCCTTCTAAACGCGGAATATAACCCAATCATAAGTTTGAAGCGTTAATGACATGCTTGATTTTTTTTATTGGAAAATTTTACTTAATTACTAGCTAATAATATTGTATATTTTGGATTTGTTCGATGTCTATTTTTAATATATTTACCAGTATCAACTTTGTTCGAATGATCTTTCTCAATTAAGAAAGTCTTGATGATCTCAGAATGCACTTTAACTCGAAGAATTCAGGATACAGAGAGATTTTAATAACGCGCGAGATTTAATGTGGCGCTACACTCAAATAAAGATTGTTGAACAGGTTGTGCGTCGAAAAACGAAGTAATTTTCTGAAGAGACTAGAATGTAGAAAGGAAATAAGATTCAATGTACTTTCACCGAGAGTGCAAGTACATTAAATGATAATTCATATAAGGCGTTTTCAGGAAAAACACAGCGTTTTATGAAAAAAATATTATGCCCCTTAAATTGAATTTCAAATTTGTCCCGTATACATGATGTCACATATTCCTTTTCCTCATCCCCGGAGAAGCTTCCTTGGATACATGATGAAAAGAAGTTATAGTTTGATTTTTCACCTCTAATCTTAGCGTGATGATGAATTGGTTGAAATTGGCAAGTAAAATCATATGCGCCCAAATATTGCGAAAATGTTAAATGCACCATGGAAAATTTTCCGAAAGCTTATTGTTACACTAATTAAATTGACGTTATGCGAATTGGAAACAAATTGATGCTATTCTCTACACTGCCGTAATAGATGCGACTCGAGACACGACTAAATCATGCATGCAGTCCCATCTCAATTTCAAGTGTTTTTGGGATAAAGTTGGACTTCGGCTGCAATTTCGATGCCTAAGTTTCGAGAGAAGTGCATGCAAAGTACTCACCTTTCCCAAGCCGTTCACTTCCTTTATCTCCAACTTTCGGAGCAGCGCAGGAGGCATTGGAGGAGCAAACTCGGTAACGGCAGCCCGGAAGTTCGTCGGCAGATTGTCCCCGGCATCGGAGGCTCGCCGGGCCGAGGCGCGACTGCTCGTCCTCTCCGCACGTCCGCCGCTTCTACGACTCCCGCTCTCGGAGTCGCTCGTGGCACGTCTTTTGCGACGTCTTCGTTCTCGGTCTTCGCTTGATGACCTTCCGGGAGGTGTTGCACTCCTGCCAGAGGGTCTAGTGTAGGGGCTCGTTAATGCTGATGGGGTAGAGGACTGGTGAACAATGGGTCTGGTAGTAGTGGTGGGGGCGGCAGCGAAGCGACTTGCAGGTTGTGACTCTGACCTGTCAGAAGAATGCATGGCTCTTCCTCCAGGCTCACCGCTGCTCATTGTCATGTGGCTGGCGGCTCTCATCGCCTCGCTGGCGCGCTGGGCAGTCCTGCACACATGAGAAAATATGTTTATTTACATTCGACGGAATATTGGCATAAGGCACAAATTAAAGATAATAAATCGAGTGATCATGATTCTTTGGTTCCATTATAATTGGCATAAATGTTACACCCTCCTACATTGACCCGGTAGAATAAGGCCCAATCTAGAGCAAAAATAATATAAAAAAACGATTGTTTGCCTCAGAAACATGAAACATTGTAAAACGATGCCACTCCTTGTGCGTGAATAAAGGGAAGCCTACGTTACGCTCAGAATGTAGATCTTGATTGAATCAAATCCAAGCTCGTGGAAGGGAAACACACCGTTTATGTGCATGCTTTACTTGGTAAGGATAAACGATCGCCTTCGAGGCAGCATCTTACGAAGGCAATTTGCAACTTGGGACACTCCTCCTAAATTGAGACCAAAATTTTGGTGAGTGAGAAGCGTGGTTTATGAGAAGCCGTCAGTCTCCTAACAAAGCACTTACTCGGCGACCTAACTTTTACGCCTACTGGTGACAGTATTGCATAAAAACGCAGCATTGTCTTAAGAAAATGAAAATTTTTAAATGAAAAATAAGCAAACAGCATTTAAGATTATTTCCAATGAGACACTTTATGAGTTAAATGATGCTTACTAATCGTTGAGTTTCAATTTTAGGAAAAGTCCGTATGAATTGAAGGAGAATAAAAAATGAAACTAGAAAAGATGACAAGTAGATGTCATAATAATATAAATAGTGATATATTTGATTTGCAATGATAAATTCACCAAAGATGACGTAGTTAATATACTGGCGCAGCGGAGATCGTGGCTTATCATCACTCACGCGTTAAAGCTCACTATTGCGTGTCACTGAATAGCGGCGCCTATTTCAGGATTTCAGTCAACTGAAGAAATGAAACTCATAAAAGCGTCCGGCAAACATTGAACTGTTTTCCAACACCAGGACTCTGTAAACGGAGCTCGTAAAACAGGTCGCTTTGCTGGGATATGCACTGTGAATGGTGGCTGGTAAACTGGGCATAATGTAACGGTTGTAAATAGAGGGAAAATTGGGCATATGCAACCCAGCATAAAGTTAGAAAAATTGGTCATCATCAAAAGGTCGCTTTAAGAAATAAAGTTTCACATCCGATCCACACACAATTTCTTCTTCGCCAAAATTACAGGTGAAGAGCTATTTTGAGTATGAATTAGATAAATTAGGACTATAAATTCAAATAAATTAAAACATTTGGCAGGCATTCTCGACGTGCGAAAGTTGTTTGGTACATTGTTCCAGAATCTCTCTATTGCAGTCCAGCGCTAAACACTTCGAAGTGATACATAATAGCAGGTTTCTAAAAAAGTATTAAAAGTTTAGAAGACTTCTTATTACATCTCGAATAGAAGTCGTCTAATATATCTCAATTCATAAAATTACGTAGAAACATCTCCCATAATGAATTTTCACACGAAATTTCGAAATCCAATCGTAGTGCCACTAAAAATCGGAATGAAAGCTTCAGAAAGCGTCGTGCGACAAGTCACGAGAAAAAGTGAACGTCAAAACGCTGACTCGACGAAATTTTGGGTCGGCAGTTTGTCGCCAAGCGTCGACTGATTGAGTCGCTGTCTCCTGAGAACAAGAAATGTTACATTGTTCAAGCCCCGAACACAACCGGATGGCGAAATTAAACCATTTTAAATTTGAATTCAGAAAAAATTTTAAAATTACACAGCACTATTCGTGTTTTACAAGCACAATACCAAAGATACCGAAAGTGACCGTGGATGAGAGAATATCAGGTTCTTTCTTCTTTGTGAAAGGAATTTTATCTGACCTCTTACGCATTAGAGTCACAATGTACTAGTCAAGAGAGAGGATACAAATGTTTAAAATTTGTAACATATTCATCGTAAGCGATGGTTTATTTAGTTAAAAAGATGTTAAAATCGGACGATATATAATGATAGGGATGCTTCGTAATTAAATACCATAGCATTTTGGTTCAGTGCTCTTGGCAGATTAAGTGTGCCATGAGCGTTAACTGAAATCGATATGTTAATGTGTGGTGCAAGCTGGTCGCTTAATAGAAGGATGCTGGCAAATATCCCGAATGCATGTAACAATTTCTTAAATCCAGTGAGAAGTTAGTAGGATATGCTCCTAACACGATTATTTCCATGCCTGATGTATTCAATAAAGAGTCTTGAATTCTCTGCGAACTTTTCGGGTATTTAAATGCCTCTTAAATTCTATGATTCTAGACAAACCATGCAACACAGCAACTAGGACTTATACGGGCATCAAGTCGTACAACTGTCGTCATTCATGAGTGTAGAGCTCATGAGAACAAGCGTGCGTAAATATTTTGACGCTGGATCCCTTCAGGAGTTAAAGCGTAGCCCCGATCCTACGAACTGAATAATTAATATAACTGAACTACATTAATAACTGAAATCATCCACTCATATAATAACGAACAATCCGCGGGTCCGCCGTGTCAAGCTACCCGATATCGTTCGTTTCGCTGTTCCGGGCCTTCAGTAAATAGGGAGGCAGGGTATCTATGATACGCGCCAGACGTCGTCCGGCGTCTGATCGGATTACTCCACGGGCTTCACGTAGGGATCATCTTATTGATTATACGACACAGACAACGAACTTAGTTCAGCTGATACCTCTATTGATCATAAGCTTGCATAACGGCTCAACATTAAGTTATTACATGAATTAAAATGAATGTATCACTATGTAATCAAATTTCGGGCTATTGGTACGATTGATACTTTTATTCCATATTCGTAGGTCTAGTTTAGAAGCGAAGAATTGATTGTATGAAAGAATACATCTTTTTTTAATGCTTTTTCAATTAGATGATCGTGCTGCTTCGAATAGAATGTTAGTCCTGAATTTTTAATAGAATTGAAGAATTGTAAGTGAAAATGGCAAATTTAACTCGCAGAGCATGATAATAAATAAGCTGAATAGTGGAACAATGTTATTTTGAAAGCGAAATGCAAACGCTAGTGCAATAATTGAGTCAGCGATGCACATAAATATCATATAAAACTCGATAAACAAGAAACGCGATAACGGTATTATTCGGACTCGTATGTTTACGACTTTGGCTTCTGCGCTCCAAATCTAGTAGCTGATTTTTTCTTCTTTCGCTGAAACGTTGGGAGAACGCCTCAGTTGCAATATTAGGAAGATTGCGTGCAGAGTTTCAGAAAGTAAATAGCAACATTTGCAGCGCCGATGCCGAAACTTGACTTCGGCAGCTGCATGGAAGCACCCACGCACGCCTCCATTGTTGCTTATAATCAAACTTCAGCAAGGAAATTCTACAAGTTGTACAACTGTACGAGCAGTACAATTGTACAGCTTTTGATAGCCCTGAGATGCGTCGAAAGCCCGCATATCACGGGTCAGACCAAACTCATCAGAAATAGACACAGGAATGACTATTTATAGTAAAATAGAACTGTGTAGAAATAATAGAGTAAAATATATTTCATACCCATCCGCACAGCCGCCCATGCACAAAATGTTCCATCACTGTTTGGCGAAGTCAACGGCAGAAGATGGTGACAGCATCAGGCATCATGACACCATAATGATGGTGACAACATCAGCATCATGCCACCATAATGATGGTGACAGCATCAGCGTCATGACACTACAATGATGGTGACAACATAAGGCCCCATGACAATATAGTGACGGTGACAGCATCAGGCATCATGACACCATAATGATGGTGACAACATCAGCATCATGCCACCATAAAGAGTTTATCTGTAGGCAAGCTGTCAGTGACACGGAGCTAATGATTGTATAGACGCCTCGAGCTACACACGATAACGCCTACAGCGTCGCGTGTATTAAGCATCTCTGAATGGACTCTTTGTATTGCATGAATTTAATTCAGCGCGAGGCGCTAGAAAAGCGCGAATGTTATTACGTGGTGACGACATGTACGTTCAAAATGTTCACCTTGAACTTATTTCAGTTCAACTATTGACGCTTCAATCCAATGAAATACGTAATTTTTCATTTCATTGGATTAAATCGATCCTTTTCAATTAGTTTTTTTTATTTTTTACAAACATTCGATTATAATAATACGTAGTTATTTTTGCAAAAGTGCTGCAAAATTATGCGCCCATAGCAACAAAATTAATTCGAAAATGATGACTTAATTTACACAAATTTATGCATCGGTACTCTCACTTTTCCGAAATAACAGACGCCAAACTACGGGTATAACTGTCAAACCATAGACGTTGCTTCACTTACAAAATTTGCCCCGTTTCACTTACGAAACAATCGTTGTTTCATTCACGAAACTAACGTTGTTTCACTCGCGAAACTGCCGTTGTTTCACTCACGAAACTAACGTTGTTCCACTCACGAAATTAACGTTGTTTCACTCGCGAAACTAACGTTGTTTCACCAACGAAACTAACGTTGTTCCACTCAAGAAACTAACGTTGTTTCACTCAAGAAACGAACGTTGTTTCACTCAAGAAACTAACGTTGTTTCACTCGCGAAACTAACGTTGTTTCACCAACGAAACTAACGTTGTTTCACTCAAGAAACTAACGTTGTTTCACTCATGAAGCTAACGTTGTTTCATGCTAACTTTTTTCGCTCACGAAACTAACGTTGTTTCACTTATTTCACTCATGAAACTAATGTTGTTTCACTCATGAAACTAACACCGTTTTTATTGCCTGGTCTGCTGGCATTCCTGAAGGCTGTCTACGGTCTGTACGGCTCAAGATCGAGGTCTGTAAGAGGAGGAGACCAAGGAGTGGTCCGCAGCCCGAGCATGTGGGACACTTCCGAGGGCAGAGAGCTTGTCTCGGAGATAAATGTAGTCTCTGGGGCCTTGAGGCGCCCACTGTAACACTGCGGTAACTCAGGAACTATTTTAAGCGGAATCCAACGAGTTTCATGTACACAAATAAAAAAGTAAGAGGAATTCATACTAAAATATAAACCATGA